TATTTTTACAAAATTTAAAGCTACTCTAAAGTATCACTTTACTAAATTTCCTGATAGTTACTAAATGTAAATTTATATAATTTAATATCATTACTTTTTTTTTTTTTGAAAGAAAACTTATTAGTTTCTAAAGATTTAAATAACAAATTTAGTTTAGTTGCCGCAATTTCGGATGTATTCGCTGAAGAATGATATTAGCTTTACGAAATATTGAGAATATTATGAGTATATTTATATATAAATTACCGTTTAAAATATATTTTACGTATATGCCAAAATTACCATCACCATAATTCTACTTAAAACTACAAGTCTTAAATAGAGAGCATTAAGCTTTACACGGAATTTTTTCAATGGAATTTTAAAATGTTTACTCCGAGGATTTCATTAAATTGTAAACTGTAACATTTTAATAATGACAAACGATTTGGAAATACTTTTTTATGTACACGTGATTCACAATTACATATTGTTTTGCAGTTCAACGTTTTTAAGAAAATTAAAAAATAATTATTGGACAGTATTGTTATTATTATTGTTATTTTATAAGTTTTATTTGAGACTAAATATCAATGTGAACGGAATATAACTTTAGATATTCATTAGATAATAACACTCTTTTCTACAACATTAGTTATACCATATTATAATTAACATACTTTACGTATTCATGTAATGTTATTTTATTGCAATGGATATACCTTTAAAATAACTAAATTCGAATTCAAACTAAGTTAATATTATTAATTAATATTAAAAAATTTATTTCACAACACTATTTATATTTTTCTCGCAACACTTTTCATCAACTTTATTTATTTAAACGGCAACATAAATATTTAACTAGCTCATAAAAAAAATATGATAAAATTAAGAAAATGATGGATTGATAACTACTTTGAAATAATGATTTGGAAGTTATAAACATTTTAAAAATTAGAGTAGAGGATGATCGCAAAAGAGTAATGCGTAATGATAAAATAACACAACCTACGCCTCACCTCCACTCAATATTTTAAAATAGTTATAAATATGACTTTCGAAATAAAAGGTCAATAGTTTTTATTTTGTAAGCTAGTTAAATATGTATGTTTCCATTAGAAAAAATAAATTTGACATTCTTATAATGTATAAGAAATGAAAAAAAAACTTAATAATTGTTAAAATGAGACATACATGAGACCAAAAATATGAAAAATAATTTTTTTAACATAATTATTATTTTAAGAAAAATCGAGTAATATTAAATTAGTCATTCCGTATATTTTGACAATTGTAAATATATACTTATTAATTAGTTTTAGTTAGTTTAGTAAATTGAGGAAAGTTTAAGTAAGATAAATTGTTTGTTAAAATAATTGAAGTACCAACAATACAAATAAGACAAAATGATCAAATAAAATAATTAATTTTCTGACGAAAAGACTAAAGTAGACGTGTAAATGAATCTTTCTAACAAAAGTAAAATATCTCGTAATATTTATATTATATATATATATATATATATATATAACTAGATAATATTTTCTTTCTTCTAATGAAGAATAATAATTAGTTCTAATATTTTAAATAACTTAACACAATGGTACATATAAATTCATGTATTTTTATAGCAAAACTCTATAATGAGTAATTAAAATAATCACAATTGCTCTATGTATTAATCAACTAACAAAATTTAATTAAATGTTATAATTAATATAATAACTACATTTTGATCCAATAAATTATAATATAGTTCATAAAAATATAAAAAAAATGATCATCTATTACTCAAGTTTTTATTACTTTTTTATAAACAAATTATTTTATGGAAATCATTTTAATTGATATTGTTTTAATTGTTGAAATTTATTTATAAAAAGTAGATAATTAAATTTTAGCGAGGAATAAAATTAAAGTAATTATATTATTCCTCATTGTGAACAATGTATTGTTATCATAATAATACAAACATGACAAAATTAAAGGATATTGTTATTTGTAAAATTAAATCAAAACACTACAATCACTTCGCGATTTAACAAAAAGATTAACCACATTTAATAATAATTAATAGACTTTATATTACATTTAAATTCATTTTATTCCGGTTTTATTTTTTTAACTTGTTAGGTTATTTTCTAAGAAATTAATTTTACACAACAACTCAGTTTTAAAAATTACTTAACTAATTTTTATTAGGAAACATTATTACGAATTTTTATAGCCAAGAGTATATTTTAATATATTTAATTTTTGCCAACGCCCGCAATAGACTTATAATAATGGGTTAAATGTGTTGTTTTTTATTATTATGTTATTGATGAGACAAATTCATTTATATTGAAAAATAATGTTATGATTAATCAATGGGTTTAATAATAAATATTGCGAATTACATTAAATTTTTAAATGTTCAAAATAACACATTTAAGAGTCTTAGACCATTTTTAATCATTTATTCAATTCAATTACAAAATAACTATTGAAGCTTTGTCTATTTTCAATGCATGTTCAGAATTTGTCAATTCGCCAAATCAGAATACTTTTAAATACTTGTGCTTTTAAAATATGAATTTAAATTTTCCATTAATTGGATATGGAAGCCAAAAAGATGTAACTTTTGTGTCAAGCGTAATAAACAAAAAAAGTATACATATAATCTGAAGTAACATACATAAAATTAATCCTAGGAGTAATTTAGACATTCATGTTATATAATCTGCTTATCAAAAATAAGTTAAAGCATTTTTTTTATGTTGAATTATTTTCATTTGTCATAACTTTTATTTATGACAGTGTAAAACATTGTACAATTCAAAATCATAAAATAAATAAACTAATAAGAGTTTATGCAGTGGTCTAGATTTATACATATACTGTTATGAATAACGAATAATCCTTTGATGTAATTAAAAGCGAGTCACATTTTTTGTAGACTGTAATATTACAGTACTCTTTTACGAGTGTATATTTACGAAATATACACTTAGTTTGGATTTATGATTTATGAAATGATTTACTCTAATTGTGTTAAGATGTTTCTATTGGTAAAATTTTTTATGAAAATAAATTATAATGTTGAATGAAAAACTTAACGATAGTTTATAAGGATTGAACGTATTTATTTTTTTTAGTTACCATATTAACTAAATAACATTAAATTAACATAATTATGCAAATATATTTTAATCACAGTAGAAACAATAATTTTCACTAAATTATTAATTTATTAATAATTGGATTCAAACAAACATATCATAAATGATGTTATTGTTATATTTATTATTATTTTAGATTCTTATTTATTTACTATCATTTCTTGCATTTGACAGTAATCAAACAAGCATTAGGATATTGTTACAAACATTTTATTTATGCATATAAGTGTAATTTTATCNTGTTACAAACATTTTATTTATGCATATAAGTGTAATTGTAAGGAAATACGATAATGAAGTCGAAATTTTTAAAATGTACATTTGGGTTGTCCTGAAGTATTACCTTAAGAAAAAAATAACTAATCATTCTCTTATTATTAAATTGCTTTGTTGGTATCCAATTGCAGCATTATTCTCAAATGATTTTCACGAATTTCTCTCTGCTATATATTTGGTGAGTATTATTTTTTGAGCACAATAAATATAAAGAATATATAGTGTCATATTAAAGAAAAAATTACATAATTATTGTGGTCTAAAGATTTAAAAACTCAATTAACGCAACAATATTTTACGATGTGCAAATTAATTTTTTTCTTACTTTCCATTTTGATAAAAACAAAGTTGAATTATAAAGAACAAAAATTGTAAAAATTAAAAGGATAATTGTTCAAAATCTAAAATTCTAATTCTAATACAACTAACTACGTGAAAAATACTTTAGATAAAACACCATTGTATTATTATGTAGGCTTGTTATGTAAGCTTGTTATGTTGGTAATTTATTGAGTTGTTAAAATATAGGTGGTGGTGTTTGCGTTCAGAATCTATAGAATTCTTTTAAAAGTGGAAAAATACCAACTGCAGTGAAATATTAGTGTAATAAAACTGAAATACCATCCAGGTGAATGGCGTTTCTTTCTTTTCCGACCTTAAAACTTCTTATGCCAATATCAGTATTACATTATACTGTAGTATAAATAAATATCTATTCAAATAAAAAAACTTAATAAAATTTTCCATTTCTAGAGTAAAAGTTACTGAAAAACATTCTAACGTTATTAGTATGATAATGTTATAGTCTTCACTATTTTAATTTATTTTACTTAATATAAACAAACTAATCGTAAATCGGAACTCTTAGCAGATGTTAAAAAGCAAATGCATGATATTATTATTGTTATTGTTATTACTGTAGTATTATGTGTATTGAGTTAAAATGGAGATTTCTTAAAATGTTTTATTTGTTTAATTATTAAATTAAATGACTTCAACTAGTTACATTATGTAGATGTACATTATATACTATACATTATACTCAAAGGTATCGTTTATAATTTTAGTCACGATTCGAAATTACACGATTTCAACCGGGGAAATTTTTATGTGCATTACTTATGAAACAGTGAGTTATTTGCTCACATTCATTGCTAAGACATATTGTTACTAAATTAATTTGAATATGTCTGTTTGAAAAAATAAAAACTTTAAGGATACCGCATTTGGACTAATCTACTGGCTCAATTTTATTTAATTTTACGGGGTTTGTATAAAAGGGACAAATCAATTTTGAACAATTTTGCTTTACATGATAATTTTGTGGTAATTTCACACCAAAACCATTGGTAAAAATCCCATATTCACATTATGATCATTTGTTATCAAGTGAATAAGCTTAGGTATAAATTCTTATGACATATCACGTTTTTTGATTGCGTTAAATTCAACTGTATATGATTTGTCCCTGTTTACATGAGCTCCGTTGTATAACTCAAAGTCAGGTTGGTATTATTATTCAACTGTTTGGTTTGATTTAAAAGTCCATAGTATCTTTTATAAAAACTAATATTAACTAACCTTCTCATGTAATGATACTTTATTACTACCACGATTACAACCGAGTTAGCAATTGCCGCCACTAAAAATAGTGGTATATACATTCCGATGAGAAGGATACTGCGGACCTCGGTAAGTCTCATCTGAGAAGAAGAAAATTCAGCAATAAGTTCTTCGATGACGGCTGCCTGTCCTGTTTCCACGTTTCGCATCCACGGATTACTACTATTGTCATTATGGATTGTGCTTTCTGTACTGTTGTTGAACATTATGTGGTTATATCATCCAATTCTACTGGGCGGGATGTTCGGTGGACGCTTAGTCTTCTCAAGACTCAACCGCCATCGAAAAGCTAGAAAAAAAATTATTTATTCTTAAAGAAATGCATAATTTTATCGAGTTGATAACACGATTTCTTTAAATTAGATTTTTAAGTCTTGAACACAATTTTTTTTTTAATTTAATGTATTTTATCATTTTTATTCAAATATCTAGGTTGACTATTTTCATTTTATAAGTTTTATTTTATATTCAATGCTAAAAAAGTACCCATACAATTGCTTCATCATTTAGAACTTAAACACATGCGTGTAAAAGTATTTGTTAGTTTATTTTATTTTAAATGAAATATTCAATTATTAACAAGGCACTAACAGGTGCGAATATATTAAGCATAATATAACTGAACAAAATGTTTAAAATAAATTATTATTAAAATAAAAAGGTCAAGAAAAGCAGATTATATGACTAAAAATAAAAATATTTATTCAAAAATTCAGTAGGCAAAATATACCATGTATAATCTTTAGAAAAATAAAATATTTTTGTTTGTTTTAGATTACGCAGTGGTTGCATTTTAGTTGTCAAAACATTACACTAAACCATGTTACAATATGACTCTGGAAAGCAATTATCGCTAAACCATTGAATACCAAGTTGTCTCGTGGGATTCGCATAAACATATTAAAGTGCTCACGTTTCAAATGTAATTATCCAAACCTAGACTCATATGAAATAAACGCCATTGATTAAAATTAAATTAATTTAATCATTTTACATAGGTTTTATTTTTACTTTTTTTATTTAAAAAAAAACAAATTTTTAAAATTACGTTAAAAATGTATGTTATTATAATAAAAAATCATGGGTGAACTAATAGGAATGGATTAGTGCTTGTAGAGACCCCTAAATTAATAAATTTGCAGAAATCTACACATTTTATTTATATAGACCACCCGCACAAGGACCTTGGTTTTTGTTTACGGACACATGCAGTTCTAATTATTTGTATAGACTTATACATTTTCAATAATATACACATATGTATACATTGAAAGTTAAATGAGCAAGAGTTGTATGATGTTATTTTTCATATAACGTTCGACAGATATGTGTAATTTATCTTTATGACTAAGCATAATTAATAGTTTTAAAATCTAAAGGGTTTTAATAAATTTTATACTTCAGTTGAACATTCATAATTTAAGCTAATTGGAAAGCTTTAAACTAATCTATAGTAAAATGTATTTATTAGAACTTGTGTGTTTTCTATTCATAGCTGTAGATTAATTACTCGAGTTTTTTACTAGTGTGGAACTTAAATTCTACATTTGGTGACTCTTTAAAGCAGCTAAAATGGAGACGTCAATCAAACTATTCCAATGGCAGTAATCGTTACACTAAAAAATGATTTTAATTTTAATTTCAAATAATCAACAAAAACAAATTATCTAAATTTTTATTATAAAAATGCATATTATATAATTTGCCAGTTTTATACAATTCAAATATTGAAATATATTTTTATTAATAATCTTTTTTCAAATGTCATACGGAGATTAACAGTAATAAATAATAAAATATTTTCAAATTATAATATTATGACCAAAAAGTTAAAGGATACTAAAGTTATCTTTATTAGTCAACTTATCATTGATTTAACTGGTTGAATAAAAAACATAGGATTGTATTTTAATCCTGTTTATACTTAAACAGCTAAACTTTACAAATGTTGAGATTATGGAAATACTTTATTTGTCAGATCAGTCAGATTATCATATTGTTTTTAGCATGTCTCGACATAAGATATTTACGAGTTTAGATGGTATAACTATCAGTTTTTTAAATTTATAGGGGAAGCCAAGGCTTAGCGGATAGGTTAAGTTTAACAGCAAAAAAAAGTATTATTGCCAAATGTCGTTTAATAAATAATAATGTTATAAAATTATTTAAAATTTTGCTCTTGGAGTTCATTTTATATTGAGCTGTAATATGTTAAAGCAACTTTTTAAAAAATGAAAAATGATTCACTTTGTCAGAATAGTCCGGCAAAGTGAATATTTTAACTATTTTCAATTTATTTCAACAAAATTTATCTTGTTCAAAAATTAAAAACCACTAAACATCATTACTAACAATATATTTTTTACACGCAAAAGAAACTTACTTAATAAATTTTAATTAAAATAGTTGTTACACGAGATTATTTTCTTTAACAATATAAAATATCAATAATTAAACTAAAATTGTGTCTTAGACTAATAATTCTTGAACCAATCTCATTAATTAGATATCTCTGTAATGGTTTTAGATTAACTAAGAGTTTTAACTCTGAAAATTATAACTATTTACTTTGCACAGAAAGATTTTTTTAAACGATTACATGATGCTCGTTGAATATATTAAGCTTACAAATGTATACATACTAGTGATGGGAAATTTTGAATAGTAACTATCGAACTATTCGATAGTCATTCAAAAACTATTCAAATAGTAAAAATATTCGATAGTTACACAATATATTCGAATAGTTTTAAAAACTATTCGATAGTCTGTGCTAAATATAAACTATTCGGTTGTAAAACACAATTCGAATAGTTGATCGATAGTTTAAAATATTTGAAAATGTCCATTAGTAATTTTTACTATCATTAATTGTATAATAGTTTATTTTAAGTATTTTATTATTATACTGTATTGAATAAAAATTTTAGGTAGAACTAATCGAATATTTTTTGAAATATTTGGTAGTCCATTCGAACAGTTTTTAAAACTATTCGATAGTTTATGCTAAAAATAAACTATTCGGTTGTATAAAAACAATTCGAATAGTTATTCGATAGTTAAAAATATTTGAAAATGCCCAACACTAATAAATACTTTTACGTACTTAAAATATTAATATCAATTATTTAAAAAAATATAAGTACTTTTTTCACCATAAACTTTTATTATATACTGTTGAATTTTTAATATATTATTACTTATAACTGTTAACTAAATGGTAGTTTGGTGTATTTAGCCCACTGTATAACCATTTTACGTTTACAAAATGAATTTATGACATTCAGATGTTGAGATAATCATTATTTCCTAATTATATTTGTATCAGAATTGGTATTACAATATGCACTTTATACTTTCGAGGACTTTTTTTTTTTAATTGCAACCGTAGCCAGTATTAGTCAGCCATTTTCATTGTAAACATTAAGTATACAGAGAGAGATGACGGACGTATGTCTCTTGGTTCTTATAAGCTAACAAATATTTATTTACTACAACCTCGATTAAAGTTCATATTTGATGGCGATGAACTATTACCTAGACATGTGACTCAAGTGCTTCTTACACGTAATCTTCTAAAAAAGAAATTAGTTTTATATACTTTTACACTAGAAACGGCGCGCGTCCTACTTGAATGTACACATACCATAAACAAAATAAACTAAAAATAACTTTGAATCTAAACTCAATAATTTCTTTAATAATTTAAGTATCATATTTAAAAAAAAAAGATAAAAATCGTATTCAGAAAAAATATCTTAAAATAAAATGTGTACAAGGGTTGTGATCATCTATTTTGTTGTCGGTTTTACAAAAAAGAGCTTAGTCCTTTCCCCTCACTAATACAAAAAGTTAAAAATTATATTTATTGTAAAATTTTTTTTAAGTATATGGAAATACGTTTACTTCTTTCTTCTGTAATTTATTTTATATTAGTTAATTCGTGTAGTATACAAGCTAAGTACTTAAACTACTAAAAAACTTCTAAAATGTTTTTCCTTCTCACTTAATATCGTTCTCGATGATCATGCGCAAGGTGGCGTGGTAAGAGTTGTCTATTTGTTTATATATGATACCTTGAAAACTTTGAATCTGCAAGATTCACAGTGAACTTACATTGCACAATTAATAAACCTACAGACCATTATTATTGTAAATAAAATCACGGAGTTAATATATCGGTAGTTATCTTTATTTTCATAATTTAAATTAAGATATTTTATATTTACTTCTTATAACAAAAATAATAAGTAAAATCAAAAATACATTTTATATTTGAATTTCCTGAAAATATTCATGTAAAAATGGTAATTCGATTTTCAATGAAAATTACTTTTTTCATCAATTGTGTAAACTAATATCCATTTTATTTAAGGAAGAAGAAATACATTTTTAATATATGATATTAAAATATATTCTATGTATTATTATCATTTTCATGATTAATGTTGAAGTTAAATTAGCTTAAAATTAAAATAGTAAATTAGAATATTTCTAAACGCTTTTATAACATTCATTTAGGAGAGTATAATAAAACACAATACAGACCAATTAATAAGGTACTTATACTGTATACTGTATAAGGTGATTCTATTATCATCTGTACAAGGTCTATATTAAATAAAAAAGTGAGTTTTCATTATTTTTATTGTTCGTAAAAATTGATTTGTTTCCTACTTACACACACCATTCAATACCCTATATAATAAACTGTAATTGGGGGGTGTCAAAAACACAATTTTTTTTTTTTATAATTTCAATATCATATTATGGCAAAATAATTATATAATTGAAAAAACTATAGTTGAACCAACTATAAAAATAGTTTACCAAACTTTTTTAATAACTCAAACTGAAATATAAGATAATTGTTCCAATTATATATTTATTATGTCACTGTATTGATAATAACTATAAAATATTTTTGGAAAATGATATCCAAAAAATAGTCTTTAAAGTAGCAATTCTTGTGTTTATAAACTTTATTTTATATGATATGTATTAGAAATAATAAGGAAATTATAACACTTTATTAGGAATTCAAGCTAAACATAGTCCAGTTACTATCAATGATAAAATGAGGCTATGCAACTTATACAGAGTTGGTTTTTTCGAAAAAATGTACACTAATTCGTTAATAATTGTTAGGTAAGATTTTGTATTCTATAAAGATTGGTGTTGATTTAGTGTTTAGAACAAAGGATGTTTGATTACCATTACATATGATTTATTTTTGTCTACTAACTTGATGGGTTTACAGTTGTAAACACACACGTATGATTTCTATTT